GGAGTAAAACTACATGACGCTTCTGACCAGCACTCACAACAGCCCACAGAGTCCTGACTGCCCTCCAGAAATTTCTAAAGGAATGAAGAGAACACCTTGGTGGCCACTGTTTCTGCTAAGATGTTTTCCAGATGTCTGCTCCCGATGAGTCGGTTTGGAGGTATGGGGGAGCACCAGATACCCTCAGAGGAAAATGAGCTATAGCCCTGTTCCCCTTGTTTGGTGGTGTCTTAATAGGTCTCTGTCCTCGGGAATGTTGAAGGAGCTCAAGTGTGTAAAGGGATGGTCAGCTCAAGACTAAACTGAGGGCAATGAATTCACCTCTGGATGAGGACAGCTTACGCTCTATGAGCAGAGAGCTGGGCTGTTCACCTCATAGCCTGGTCTATGAATATGGTTTTCCACCCATTTCTGAGGAATTTAATCAGGGGAAAAGCTGGCTCTGAATGAGCAGATAGGCTTTTACGTGAGGTCATCTCTCAGGAGATGATCTGCGTCACCTTGGTGATGGACAAGAGGAAGGACATTTTGTAAGAAGGGAAGAGAAGAGACACCACAATTATCCTTGGCTCCTACAGGATTTAAGGGTGGGACAAAAACTAAAATGCGCTGTGTGTGAGAATGGACGCTAGTGGTAAAGACTGAAAGTCTAGGGCTTCCCTGGTGGCGCAGTGGTTAAGAATCCGCCTGCCAATGCAGAGGACACGGGTTCGAGCCCTGGTCCGGGAAGAGCCCACATGCCGCGGAGCAACCAAGCCCATGCGCCACAACTACTGAGCCTGCACTCTAGAGCCCGTGAACCACAACTACTGAGCCCATGTGCCACAACTACTGAGCCCGTGAGCCACAACTACTGAGTCTGTGTGCCACAACTACTGAGCCTGTGCTCTAGAGCCCGTGCTCCACAACAAGAGAAGCCACTGCAATGAGAAGCCCGTGCACCGCAACGAAGAGTAGCTCCCGCTCGCCGCAACTAGAGAAAGACCGCGCACAGCAAGGAAGACCCAACGCGGCCAAAAATAAATAATAAATAAAGTCTACTATTGCCTTCCTCCTTCATCAGAACCCTGGGCAGGCGCCCCCATAGCCCTATCCCCAGGGAAAAAAATACGGTGACTTGAAAATATCTGTCGAGATGCAGCAAAAATGATCACAATAGTCTTGGAGCTATACAAATGCAAACGCTTGTTCAGAACTAGTATCACATAAACATGAGATAGTAAGTGTTAGAATGTGTGCGTCTAGGTTAAAACATTGACGAAATAGAGGATGTTTAGAGAAATGGACAGTGAGAGTTAGCAACATTGTTTAACCTCACATGGATCCTAATGCTTTTAGCTTCAGCAAGATTGGCAGTATTCTGGACCATAAAACAAGACTCAAAAACTTTAAAAGAATTGAAATCATACAAAGTATCCTTTCTGCAACAGAATTAAACTAGAAATCATATAGAACTATCTCTGGAAAAGCCCCAACTATTTGGAAATTAAACAACAAAAAATAATCCATGAGTGAAAGAGGAAGTCACAAAGGAAATCTGAAAATAGTCTGAGTTGAATGAAAATGAAAACAATACATCAAAAATTTGAGGATGCAACAGTTAATATCATACTGACTGAGAGCAAGGCAAGAATGCTTTCCTTCACTATTTCTATTCAGAATTGTACAGGAAGTTCAAGCCAGTGCAATAAAGCAATAAAAAGAAATACACAAATTAGAAAGAAAGAAGTAAAACCATCTCTATTCACAGAAGAAATGATTGTGTTCATAGAAAAATCCAAAAGCATCTACAAAAAAGCTATTCAAACTAATAAGAGAGTTTTGAAAAGTCATAGTATTTGATACACAAAATCAGTAGTATTTCTATATACTGGCAATAGGCAACTGGAAATTGAAATTCAAAGAAAAACTTACCGTATATAATAGTGAAACCAAGGGCAGTCATCAGTTAGATCCCTTAAACTATAACGTGCTTAACAAATAACATCCTGTGACTTGCCTTCACTGACAAAGCTTGCTTTGTTTTCAAAAACTGCATACCCTCCAAGCTTCACGTAGCTTAGACAATATATCACAAGACGCCTTTCATCACCCCCTATAGATAACACCTCTGACATATGGACTGCTATAGTACAGTTGTTTTTTCAGGAACACGGAGTTAGTCTTGCCCAGGTCAAATCATTCAAGACCCCCAACCATTAAACTGGTCCTGTGCAAATCTGATGGATGACCATTTGACATCGTAGGACCAAAAATTCCACCCTCAGATCATCCTAACGCCGTCATTTTCTGAACATGCGTCCCAGGAAGAAGCATGTAACTCAGATACACCTGTGCAGAACACAGGTTATGCTGTAGGAATCAACAACATGATTTTTAAACTTATGTGGAAAGACAAACAACTAGAATGGCTAAAACAGTTATGAAGAAGAACAAAGTTGGAGGACACATACTACCTGATTTCCAGACTTCTGTACAGACACAGTAATCAAAACAGTGTGGTATTGACCAAAGAATAAGCACGTAGATGAACAGAACTGAACAGAGTGCTCAGAAATAGACCCATGCACATACAGTCAATTGATTTCCGGTCAAAGATCAAAGGCAATTCAATGGAAAAGAACAGTCTTTTCATCAAATGATCTTGGAACAAGTGGACACTCACTTGCCAAAAAAAAAAAAACAAACCTTGATCTGTACCATATTAATAAGTTAACACAACACGGATCACACGCCTAGATCTAAATTTAAAACTAGGAAACTTTGTGAAGAAAATAGAGGATAAAATCTTCCTGACCTTGAATTAAGCAAAGATTACTCAATGAAAGGATGCTCAACATCATTATTCACCGGGGAAATGCAAATTAAAACCACAGTGAGATACCATCAGCTAGCTGAATGGGTAAAAAAACAAAGAAAATAAAGAAATCCTGACAATACCTAGTGTTGCCAAAAATGTGAAGCAACTGGAACTCTCATGCACGTTGGTGGGGAAGCAAGATTATTCAAGCACTTTGGAAAACAGTTGGGCAATTTCTTATGTCTACTCCCCGTATGACCTAGGAATCTCAAGACAAATTCACTCAAGAGAAACAAAGACATACGTACATACAGAAACATGCAGGGGAGTATTTAGAGCAGCCTTATTCATAATCACCCCAAAAAGGGAACAAACCAAACATCCTTCAGCTGATGAATGATTTTAAAACTGGCGCATCCATATAATGACATCCTACTTGACAATAAGAAATGAACCACTGGGACACATAACAATAGGGATGAATTTCAAATGAATGATGCTAAGCTTTACAGATTTACTAAGGCCACATGATATTGGATTACATTATACGACATTCTGCAAAGAGCAAAACTCCAGGGACAGAAAATAGATCAGTGGTTGCCAGAGCCTGGGGCCTGGGGAAAGGATTAACTACCAAGGGACACAAGGGCATTTTTTGTGGTAAGGGCTCTTCTATGCCTTGATTGTGGCGACTTACATGACCGTATGCATCTGTCAAAACTCATAGAACTGCAAACTAAAAGAGGGAAATTCTATTGCACGTAAATTACGCTTCAATAAACCTCACTTTAACTTTTTTAAGATTTTAAAAGATTTTTTTAAAAAGCTGTTTGCTGGGGAAAAATACAGTAACAATCAGAGTCAAGTAAAAAAGAAAAAAAAGTCTTCTAAGAAGGAAGCACAGCTACTTAAATCAGGATGAAAGACACTTCAAGAGAGAAAAGATTTTTAAGAGAAGATGAAACCAATAAATTAGGTTTAAGATGTCTGCAAAAACAAACAAACAAACAAAAACAAAAAAACCCCAGATTCATCCTGCCCTGAGAGGTCATCAGGAAAATAGAGTATCTTAAGAAATAAGAACTAATTTGCCAGATACCCAAAAGGCAACTGAGTCAAAGAAAGAGAATGGTAGGCAGAATTCTAAGATGCCCTCCCATCCCTATCCCCCGCCCCCCCCCCACCATTACACGCCCTTTGTGTATAATCTCCTCCACTTATGTGCGGGTGTGACTTGTAAATATAATAGGAATTCACTCCCATGATTAGGTGATTAGTCAATGGACTCTGAGTTCATCAAAAAGAGCTTATCTGGGTCCCCTGGTTGCGCAGTGGTTAAGAATCCGCCTGCCAACGCAGGGGACACAGGTTCGAGCCCTGGTAGGGAAGATTTCACATGCCGCGGAGCAACTTAGCCCGTGCGCCACAACTACTAAGATGGCATGCCTTAGAGCCTGTGCTCCGCAACGAGAAGCCACTGCAGTGAGAAGCCCGCGCACCGCAACGAAGAGTAGCCGCCACTCGCCACAACTAGAGAAAGCCTGTGCGCAGCAACGAAGAACCAGTGCAGCCATAAATAAATAAATAAAAATTTTTTTAAAAAGCATCACAAAAGGCAACAGCATAGAGAAAAGAGGGGAAGGCTAAGGGCAGACGTCTTTGGAGAATAATCTCTCTCAATTCCATCCAGTGGTGGCCAAGAAAACCCAGCACAGACTGGTGGAGGTTCCCTGGTCTTGTCTCATTGCTCTTGATAACTCATTGTCCCTACAGGTTTTACTTCTCTACCTCCGGACCCTGACTGCAGTCACCCAAGTACTAACACTCCTCTCTGGGGGGCACACCCTCCCACAGGTCTCCAGGGCCAACAGTGACATCCAGAGCAGAAACACGTCTGTATTCACTGGACTTCCTTAACACTCATTCTCAACATGGCCGTTGGTGAGACTAGGCACCAGGAAATAACCACTCAACTTTATAACCATAAAAAAAGCATGAATCATTCCTGAATCATCTTTCCCTATATGGGAAATATAATAGGAGGGTTCCCCCTGCCCAAAGAATATTATCTGAATTACAGGTTGTAGTATCTTGCAAATTAAAATACATGCTTCATCTTCATAATATTATTAGTTCTTTGATTTATAGCACTGTTCATTCTGAACATCATATAATGAAAATGGAGTAAATCATAACTTACCCTGTAACTTTTTAGTCTGATGAAATCAACCTTCATAGAGACAAATCTATCGGAATTTCGACTGATGTTCTTAAGGTGTTCTACCAGATCTGCACAGAACTTGTAGCCTCCTTTAAGTACACAGAGGACCATAATGTCACAGTATCCTATGTCTTTCATAATATCCTTAGCCAGCCGTTCAATTCTGAAAGAAGGGATTAAAAGATATATTAAAGCATGACTACTTCTGAGCATTTTTGTTCCTTTCCCCAAAAATGCATGATGTACTCTACATACTAGATTATGCAGGAGAATGTGGAGAAGGGCTTGGGAGACAGAATGTTACAGATAAAGAAGCTCTGTTAAAGTAGGATAAAGAGAAAGTGTTCAAAACATATTTCTAATAACCACATCATCAATCATACATTTTTGCTCCTCTGCATCACAAAAAATGATTAAGGTGTAAAATATGATGTCAAAGATCACGAAGGCTATTATTTGATCACTACAAAGCCTGGCTGTTCGCTTTAACGAGGCTATGATGGTATGTGGTGATATTACGTTCCCTTTAAAGCAAAGAAGAAGGAAATGGAGGATGACTCACCCACCTGACCACGTTAGACGAGACTGGAGGAAAAGTCAAGACCATAATCACTATCGAAAGAATAATATTTGACTTATATTTGATGAAGATAACACGTTACCTCTATGAGAGGTGCTCCGGACAATCTCAGTGGACACCATCTCCACAGATCACAGTTTGAATGGTGTCTCCTGAAGTTCTACCATGATGCAGCCTTGGGCTGGCATCCAACACCTAATGTGGAACTGTCATTGTATTTTTTCTCATTGTTTCATATGTATAAGTCCATTGCCCATACACCCATACAACACTAAAACCTTGAATGAAGGTAGGATCGAAGGGGCACACTTTTTAAAATATTCCCACTGGCACCTCAAACTGAATTATATTTAAAACAGATGAAGTGAATGATGTGAAAAAATAAAATATTATATCACATATGTTTTAAATATGTAATATATATACTTTATATATTTTTATAGTTTATTTGTGTGTGTATATGTGCATACATATACATATAAAATGACAACCATGGGTTCATGTAATGTGTCTCAAAATATGATCAACGAAATGTACATCAGCATGCCAAATATTCCTTTTATATTATTATTATTTTTTTTTTTTTTGTGGTACGCGGGCCTCTCACTGTCGTGGCCTCTCCCGTTGCGGAGCACAGGACATGCAGGCTCAGCGGCCATGGCTCACGGGCCCAGTCGCTCCGCAGCATGTGGGATCTTCCCGGACCAGGGCACGAACCCGTGTCCCCTGCATCGGCAGGCGGACTCTCAACCACTGTGCCACCAGAGAAGCCCCCAAATATTCCTTTTTTAAAGAATTTTTTTGATGTGGACCATTTTTAAAGCCTTTATTGAATTTGTTACAATACTGCTTCTGTTTTATGTTTTGGTTTTTTTGGCCATGAGGCATGTGGAACCTTAGCTCCCCAACCAGGGATCGAACCTGAACCCCCTGCATTGGAAGGCGAAGTCTTAACCACTGGACCGCCAGGAAAGTCCCCAGCATGCCAGATATTCTATAAAAAGGGACACTTGTTTCCAGCATGATGCAGTGAGGAGGTCAACACATCCTCTTCACAAAGAGAAAGTAGAAAGTCAGACAAAACTGTCAAAAGCAACTATTTCAGTGCTCTGGAAATCAACCAAAGGCATGCACCAAACTGAGAATCATTTATTCATGAAAACACTGAACACTGGGTAGAAACAGCACAGATCTGTGGTATTCTTATCTGAGAATGGTCCCCTCTCCCTGGCCCCCAATCTGCTCTACTGTTCAACCGGGTAGTCAAGCAGGGTGGGGCACTGCTCACCCGATGGGGAACACCGTCAGTTAACACGGCCATCTTGGTAGCATGCGAACAGGGAGGGCCAGGGGTCCCGTTATCCTGAAGTTGCAGTCCTGTTTGAGCAACTACCTAGCAGACTAGTCACAGATTTAACAGAGAGTTCCAGGAGGTTACAGTCATGGGAGAGGGGCACATAATAAACTCTCCACATACCCCAAGTCAACCAGAAGCTGTGCATATGCACTGCAGAGACTAGTGTGGGCCCAGGCCACCACATATCCCTGAAAGGTGGAGCCCGTAAACCCACACGGCAGAGACACCGGAAAGCTCAGTGGAAAGTAAAAGCCAGGGAAGGCTTGAAAAAGGCTGGAAATTTGAATGTGCTTGACAGGCTCCCACACACATTCATCAGCAAAGAGTGGAGGCCTCCCTGGCTCAAGGTGTTTGAGTATAATCTCTACCCAATCTCAGGCTGAAGATTAAGCTATTCAGGCACAAGCATGAACTCTGGTGAGCAAAACTTAAAAGGGAAAACAAGAAAAATAAACTGCACATCATCAGAGGCTACACATTGTGGGGGAGACAGTTTTCACAGACTGGCAGACAAAAAAAGAAACAAAGAACAAGGGCAGGGGCTTCCCTGGTGGCGCAGCGATTAAGAATCTGCCTGCCAATGCAGGGTACACGGGTTCGAGCCCTGGTCTGGGAAGATCCCACATGTCGTGGAGCAACTAAGCCCGTGCTCCACAACTACTGAGACTGTGAGCCACAACTATTGAGCCCACGTGCCACAACTACTGAAGCCCACATGCCTAGAGCCCGTGCTCCGCAACAAGAGAAGCCACCGCAATGAGAAGCCCGCGCACCGCAACAAACAGTAGCCCCTGCTCGCCGCAAGGAGAGAAACCCCGTGCACAGCAATGAAGACCCAACGCAGCCAAAAATAAATAAATATATAAATAAATTTATTTTAAAAAAAGAAGGGCAATGAATAGGAAATAGTTACAAATATGGTAGAGATTAAACCAAGTATATCAATCATCATCACTTTAAATGTGAATTGTCAAAATACACCAATTAAAGGCAGAGGCTGTCAGAGTGTATCAAAAAAACACCCTAATATATGTTGTCCACAAGAAATCCATTTTAAATATAAAGACACAGATAGATTAAAGGGGTTGAGAAAGATGTACCATGTTAACATAATCAAAAGAAAGCTGGAGTAGTTGTATCAATTACAGACAAAGCAGACCTCAGAGCAAAGAAACTGTCAGGAATAAAGACTGACATTAGTGTATTAAAAAGAGGTCAATTCTCCAGGAAGACCTAACAGTCCTTCATGCGTCTGCACCCAACAAGAGAGTACCAAAAAACTTATTGAACTGTAATAAGTAGATGAATCCACTGTTGCAGTTAGAGACTTCAACACCCCTCTCTCAGTACTTGACAGATCCAACAAGGCAGAAAACCAGTAAGGATATAGTTGAAAGGAACAGTACCATATACCAACTGGACCTGGCTGACATTTGTAGAATACTTCACCCAACATTCTCCTTAAAAGATATCAATAATAAAATGAAAAGACAAGCCACATACTAGTGGGAAATATTTGCAAATCATATGTCTGATAAAGGACTTGTGTCCAGAATATATAAAGAACTCTTACAACTCAATAAGAAGAGAAACAACCCAACTGCAAAATTAGCAAAAGACTTAAATAGGCATCTGTCCAAAGAAGATGTATGAATAGCTAACAAGCACACTAATCATTAGGAAAATGCAAATTTAAACCACAATGAAATACCTTTATATATCCACTAGCATGGCTATAATTAAAAGGACAAACAATACTAGATGTTGGCAAGTATGTGGAGAAACTGGAACCCTCAAACACTGCTGGTGGGAATGTAAAATGGTGCAGCCACTTTGGAAAATAATTGGCAGTTTCTTAAACTTACCATGAAACTCAGAATTCCTCTCCAAGAGAAATGAAAAGATATGTCTACACAAAGACTTGTACGTGAATGTTCACGGAAGCATTATTCACAATAGCCAAAAACTAGAAATCTAAACGTCCATCAACTGATGAATCAATAATCAGATATTGTATGATTTAATTTATATGAAGCGCTCAGAAAAGACAAATTTATAGAGAAAGAAATCAGATTAGTGATTGCCTGATGGTGGGGGTAGAAGCAGAGACTGACAACAAACTTTTGGTGATGATAGAAATATTGTAAAACGATGGTGGTGATGGTTGCCTAACCATAAAAATGTACCCAAAATCATTGAGTCATTTACCTACAATGGGTGAGTTTTGTAGTATGTAAATTATATCTTAATAAATTCATTTTAAAGGTGGGAAAGGGCATTCTTGGGATGCCACTCCAGACCACTGAATCAGAATTTCTAGACAAAAAGCTTAAGATTATGCATTTTTACAAGTTCACTGGGTAAGTCTCCTGTAGAGGGAACTGGTAACCTTACCAGGATTCAATTGTGTACTAAATCAGGATGCAATTAACTTAAGTCATAAATTGATTTTCAGATGAGAAAAGCAGGAATTTGTTTAAACCAGGGGTTCCCAAACTCGTGTGAAGAGAAAACGCTTCTGAGACTTATTAAGAAGTGAATTGAGTACAAAGACACCCACTACACAGAAAAGGTGCTTTAACTGCTAAAGTCAAGCAGATTTCTTCCCTACCCCTCCCCTTTCTTGCAGGAATCTGTATCTTTAATATGAATTGCCAACATGGAGGTCTAGCAAGTTGGGAGATGCCAAATTTCTTACATTTATTTCATCACAGAACCTGTTTTCCCTTCAAGGATCAAAACTTGTATACCATGGAAGGCCACCTGAGGCTGTGAGAAACCACAAACTAGACCTTATTTTAATAATATACTATAGTTTGAGAGAATACACAATGTGCAGATCTTATCCAGTGGAAAATCTTAGAATGTGAGTGAGAGAATGACATTTCCTTTTGCTTACAGACAGGCACTGATGGAAAGATAATATCCTGGGAATAGTGACCATCTAGTGCTTTTCAAACTTTCCTTTGGCTGAGGATCTATTTTACAAGTTAAATTTTAACTCAGAAGAATATAACAGCTTAAAAAAATAGAGGCAGAAATACAACGGCTTAAGGAAAAGGGTAGAGCGGGGAGCCCGAAGTTTCAGTTTCTCCTGCTTCTTAGAGCCTCTCCCGCCCCAATTTCTGAGTCTGAAATCCATGAAGCTTGCTTTTCATATAAATGTGAAGGCTTAAGTACTTGATCTTTGTACAAGAAATTAGAGGTCCATGGAAAGGCAAGAGTTGGGGCATTAAGGAAGCCTTGTTAAAGGGATAGGACCTATCAATCCTGAAGGCTGTGGTGGGCTGAACTGGAGGGGGCTCTCTGAAAACCAAAAAACTAGTGAGGGTGACTTAGGGGCTGAGAAGAGGAGAGAAAATGTTGGCTTTCGAAAAGCCAATCGGCTAGGAAGGAGCCAGAGGATATCTATGTCGACGGGCCCAAAAGAACTAGAAACACTACTTGAGAAGCAGTTCTGTGCTGCTATTTTTAAGTTGCAAATATTCCTATTTCTAAAACATCACCACTGAAAACCTAATTGTGCACAGACTGGCCGACCTGTGAGAAAAGACTTATTTGAGATAAATACAAGTCGCAGGAAAAGCCTTCAGGGGTTTGGCCTGTGAAAGCAAAGGTCACCTCTTAACTGTCCCTGGTTAAGAGTCTGTGAAAAACGTGAGACAAACGCTTTCCCAACCCTCATTTTCATCAGTTTGTACAGGACATTGTTATTTTGAGGCTGTTACTTGTGCTGTAACATCTTCCGTATGTATAGCCTTCTCACCACTTCCCCTGAACAGATATCCCAGGAACTAGTTCATGTAAAGCACAGATTTATTTTACTCCAAATTCTCTGTAGTACAAAATTTCTGTGTACCATTATATAGAAGAGATTCCAGAATAGGGTCCCCAAGTGTACCGTCTGATTCACAAAGGAGAGGGCTAGACAAAACTTACACGGCAAAGAGCACTCACCTGTCCACAACGATGCCATGAGGGATGAGGACATAGTCCAAATCTCCGTAATAGTGCTGTGGGTATGTGAACAAATTCAAGTCGTAGCCTGGCCAGTCGTCCATAATCTGTAAATCAAATTATCTTGGTTACAATATTTTTCATTGGAAATTTATTTTAAGAAACATAAATAAACAAGAGCATCCTTTGAAAAAAAGAATAATATTGAAAACAGACTAGGTCTGATAATCCATATGGCATTAAATTATATTCCATAGGACTTCCCTGGTGGTCCAGCAGTTAAGACTCCGTGCTCCCAACGCAGGGGACCTGGCTTCGATCCCGGCTCAGTGAACTAGTTCCCGCAAGCTGCAACTAAGACCTGGTACAGCCAAATAAATTTTTTAAAAAATTATATTCCATCAACCTATGAGAAGCCAGGTGGGACAAGGTAATTTGTTTCACGTAAACTGACGAAGGACCTACTGAAGTGAACAGGGAACTCCATTCCTGACGTTTGGCATCACAAGATAAAATACCAACTTAATGCCTTACAGCTAACCTGATAGCATTGTTTGTAAGAGTGCACATATGTAAATATACAATTTACTTATACAATTTATAAGTAAAATTATGTTTGTAATTACAGGAACACCTTTTATTGCGCTTTACAGATAGTATGCTTTTTACAAATTGAAGGTTTACGGCAACCTTGTATTGTCAGATGATGCTCTCAGCATTTTTTAGGAATAAAGTTGGTTTTGTTTTTTTTTTTGCGGTACACGGGCCTCTCACTGCTGTGGCCTCTCCCGTTGCGGAGCACAGGCTCAGGACGCGCAGGCTCAGCGGCCATGGCTCACGGGCCCAGCCGCTCCGCGGCATGTGGGATCTTCCCGGACCGGGGCACGAACCCATGTCCCCTGCGTCGGCAGGCGGACTCTCAACCACTGCACCACCAGGGAAGCCCCCATCTGCGTATTTGAAGAGCAACACATCTGCTCTGCCTTGACCAGCAAATCAGCTGGTGGCAACTGTTGAATCTGCACAGAGTAACTCTGGCTTCTACCCTGAGAACTCCTGGGGTCTGCTGCCACCATCAACACCACAACGGCTGGTCAAAGCCTGAACCCGCCAGCTGAACATGAGGAGATTCCAGAAGATGCACTGGCAGACCACGACAAAGACCAGACGAGAAGCCTGACCAGCACCAGGCCCCAGGGAGATCACCCAAGGGCACAGCACTTTCTGGCTCCCCTGCCAGACCACACACACTACCCACCCTACCTCTTGCAGCCCTCCCAGAGGCAGCAGCATGAACTAGTGGCCACTCTTCCCGCCACGGAAATCCTGTAGTACCCCCTGCCTGGCTGAATCTCAGAGATTCTCTAGCCCATGTTCTAGGGCTCAGCTCTGACACTTAATATGATATTAGGAAAATTACACCTGAGATTCATTTCCCCCTCCTTTAAATAAGACACAATAAAACCCACGGACAGGGCTGCTTTGAGGATAAAAAGATAGAGCAGATAACGTACTTAGAGTTCCTAGCACATCTCCAGGTATATAATAAATGCTTAATAAATGACGCCCCCAAAAAGAAAAGAATGATAAAATGACAAAACAAACCTAAATATAAAAACTATACTGGTTATCTGTAGCTCAGAGGCAGCATGGAGTAACGATTAAGAGCATGGATTAGAAGTCTAACACACCCAGGGGTGAATTTACTAGCTGTTGGACCTTGTGCATTTTAACCTCTCTGGGTCACAGTGTTTTCATCTATAAAATGGAGCCGATGCCTACCTCATATGGCTATTTCAAGGATTAAATAAGATAGATAATGGACATAAAACTCTTACATCAGTATCTGGTCTACAGAACGCTGCAGTAAATGTTAACCAGTTAGATGTACTGAAACATCAATAGTTTACTTACAAATTACATGTGTTCACTAACTTAAAGAAGTGCTTTAAACCTACCTGCCAAAGTCTTATTACCCTAGTTAAAGCTGTACATTTCAAAGTAGAAGCAACGTGTTTCTCTAAAACTATCCTATAAGCCAAACCAGCCTATTTCCCAATGAGTCTGAAACAGTGAGTTTTCACTGTAGAGATAAAAGACGATTAGAAATGAGGGAACCACTGGTTTATCCTTAATAGTGCATACAAATTGCATTGTAAATGTGTCCTAGACCTGAAGGAATGGAGGCTGCTAGGAACTGCAGATAACTATGTTATTCAACTGCTTTTTGAAAAATCAAAACAAGAAGTCTTTAAATAGTTTCAGTCTCACAGATAATATGCTCTAAGTTTATTCAGAACAATGCCTTCTCTGTTCAAAGACGCAAAATATGGCCAAGCTGGGGAAGTGACAAACACACTGAGCCATTTTACACCACATCCAAACCCCAGAACTCCTTCGGACTCTCTTTTCCCCATTGGAAGATATATTGAAGACCTTCTTTCTAAGTCATTAAATTTTTTTGCTTAGAATATGTCTTGCCTTATTTTTCAAGTTGTATCCCCTAGGGAGAAAAATAGTTTGGAAACACATACAAAAAGCTAATCTTGGGGGACTTCCCTGGTGGCGCAGCGGTTAAGAATCCGCCTGCCAATGCAGGGAACATGAGTTCGAGCCCTGGTCCGGGGAGATCTCACGTGCCGCGGGGCAACTAACCCCGTGCGCCACAACTACTGAGCCTGCACTCTAGAGCTTGCCAGCCACAACCACTGAGCCCACGCGCCACAACTACTGAAGCTTGCACGCCTAGATCCCGTGCTCCGCAACAAGGGAAGCCACCGCAATGAGAAGCCCGTGCACCCCAACAAAGAGTAGCCCCCGCTTGCCACAACTAGAGAAAGCCCACGTGCAGCAACGAAGACCCAAAGCAACCAAAAAAATTTTTTTAATTTTTGAAAAGGTATTTGCATCAACATCTTTAAAAAAAAAAAAAAAAAAAAGCTAACCTTGGCTCCTCTCTGCTGCTAAGCCCCAAAGCCTGGGCCCTACTCTCTCCTTCAGGCAGTGACCACGGCGGCCGCCAATTTCAGGTTCACATCCACCCGTCCACTGTTAGAAAGGAAGGGAGTCTCGTCCCACAGTTCTGCTTCTGGGAATCCCAGACAAGAACGTCAACCGGCCCAGCTGGGGTTACTGGTCCAGCCCCAGAGCCAGGGAAGGGGGTGCACTGTGAGGGATGCCTCAGAGCCACACATTGAGAAACTGAGTAGAAGCTGTGTCCTCAAAGAAGGGTCCCAGGCTCTGCTACCAGGGGAATGAAGGGGGGCTCCACAGACCAAATAACATCCTGTATCCTGCATGCCTTCCTCTTCTGTGGGGGGTTCTGTACCCGGAAGGGGAAACTCATCACATCTAGTAAAGTCGTTTCCATGGGGGGAGGGGGAGGGAGATGCCATAACAGAAGCACAATCATTTCAGATTTTCTCTTCTCCTTACTCCTACCAAACTCACATGCGTAGGGCACTAACTATGCTTCTTTGATAATGGCTCTGTAAAAGTAAACCATATCTAATAACCTGATCCCCAAAGACCAGAGAGGTAGAGAAATCTTTTCTCTCCCTGAGAAGCAACAAAGATATACCAACTGAGGTGTGTGTGTGCGGGTGGTAGGGGGGACACTGGTAGCCAGTCTATCCTGAGCAAAGTTTCCGAACTCAGGGTCTACATCTCCGATTTGGTAATTAGCACTTGCTCCCATTTACTGTTAATAATCTACTAATGTCCTACCTCCCCGAGTAAACTGAAAGCCATCTGTAGGCAAGAGCCATCTTCAGTCTCTTCATTTTCCCTTCTCTTACATGAACTGTATTTCTCGTTTTAGGCTCAAGTCATCTGGCTCTATGTCCCTTGCCATCTTTATCACCAAGTTTCTACCAACTCAGACTTCTCTTCTCCACCTCATTTCTGGACACTCCAATACACACCTTGATGATCCTTCTAGCTACTCCATCTTGTAGTAACTTCACCTACCTTAGCTCAAACGACTTCGCCTCTAGTCCACCTTAGCCACATCCTGTCCGTCCCAGCAGCCTCCCCTTTGACATTCTTCTCCAGAAACACAGCTTCCCATGTAGCACAGTGCTGGAAAGCTGGCTTCAACTCCTGCTTCTGCCATTTGCTAATCATGTGACCTTGGCGATTGCTTATCATTGCCTCAGTTTCCTCCTCTATAAAATGGGGATTATAATATCCCTACCTCAAAGATTTGTGAGGATTAAATGAATCATACAGGAAAACCACATAGTAAGTGCTCAATAAACACTTGCCATTACTACCTGCCCCCTTACCCACTGGTACTAAAATTTCCCTTTGATTTTTTCCAACCCATCCTTGAGCGCTCTCTGCTTTCCCAGTATACCTACCCTCCTAAGCTTTCCTTTTCCTCTCGACCCTTCCATCAGCACCTTGAATTCATTCTGAATTTGCCTTGCCTGCCCATATCCAACTTGATATTAATGTAATTATCCCAAGTTCCACTGGAGAGAATGACATAAATGCAGGGATGATCTCCATTATACCTTGATTATTTCCAACCTTGGTGGACCCTCTCACTACCTTCCTGCATCTTTCACCAAATTACCTTGCTTTTGAGAAAGCTTCTTTTAGCAGTGATAGATCGGGCTACTTACTGTTCCATCATTTGCTTTTTAGACTTTAACAATCTACCGTTCCTATTAGTCATATCGACTGACCTCATTCATTTTTAAGACTATCTATTATTAGATACTAGTACTATATTTTAACCATTCTACTGATGGAATAGTTGTTTAAAAGATTCTCACCTCTGATGGCTTCGTCTTTTCCATCTTGATGCCACTTGCTCTTCCTGAGGCATCTGTCCCTCCTGCTGACCTCTTATCCTCACCTCCACAAAACTCTGTTCCCTAGGCACCTACCACCCCGTCTGCTCTCTCCTACTTTGCTACTCCTTCTTGGTCTCCTTACCTGGCTTCTCCCAGACACTCGGCCTGTTACATTTGGGGCTTTCTACCCTTAACAATAGTTTCACATTTCTTCTCCATGTTCACTGGGCATCCCTATCCACTGCCAAGCATCAGATATTTTTCTATTTGCTGACAATTTCCAAATCTAACCAATCACCCTCCTGAATTCCAAACAGGAGTTTCAAATTGCCTCCTGTGCATCCTGACCCATAGGCTTTACAGGCACTAGAGACTCAACTTGTCCTGAATTTTCATCCCCCTCCAACTCGCCTGAAATCTAGGCCTGACCATCCTCTCCATGGCAACTGGAATGACCTTTTTTTTTTTTTTTTTTTTAAAGCATAAACTGGATGTCACGATTCCTTCTCAGAATGTAATGATTTCTTTGCCCTTGGCAGGAGCTGTCTTGAAGACCCTTCTTCAGAGTCTTCACGTGGCTACCTCCTGCTTAGCCTTCAGGTCTTGGCTCAGATGTCACGGAGGGGCTGCTCTGCCTGAGCTAAAGCAGCATCCCCAGGCCTCCGCCAACCACTCTCTATCTCATTGCTCTTGTCTTTTCACTGCACATATCACTCTTTGAAAGTATCTTCTTTGTGTGTTTGCTCTCTTACTGCCTGCCTGTGTTCCCCTCTAGAATGTAAGCTCCACCAACACAGGGCTTTTTGTTTCCCCAGAGCCTAGAACACGGTCTGGAACACAACAGGACAGTCAACATGAGTGGAATGAATAAATAAATGAACTCCTCCTTTAAGAAGGAAAGACCCGGCTTTGAAATTAATACTGGGCAACACGGTTCAACCTGAACAGATCGGTTAGGCTGTGAGATGTTTCCCAGCAGAACGTTACTACTCCTGTAGTCCCTTCCCGGACACACACACATTATCTGTGCATTACAGGCTGATCCCTGGACAAAGACTCTTAATGTAGCAAGTTAGCCCACACCGCACCTGCAGATCACTTTAAACCTGACACGTTAAAACTACCACCTTTCATAGAGACCATTCTAAACCAAGCTGAAGCCAGCGGCCATAGGCCAAGACCAGATTTGATTCCAGGACACCGAGCGATGGGTACCCACAAGGCGCTGGCTGACTTCGAGGGATCCCCAGGGATAAAGAGGCTCTGGCCTGGGACCCCATCCTCCCCCACCTTCTCATTCGGACGCACTACTAGCTACTCTGTACACACCCTCTCTAGTTGGCTCAGCGGGCCCAGCGTGCTGTTTCCCTTCTGACGAACCAGAGGCTCGCTCGACGGCGCTAGGGTGTCCCAAGCTCGCGCAGAGGCCCCACAGAAAGAGCCCTCGCCCGGGTTTCCAAGCTCAAGCTCCGTCCACTAGAGCTCCTTTACTTCCTGGCTGCCCCGGAGCGCCCTCAGTACCCTTTCTGAAAACAGCACGTGAAGCCCGCGCTGAAGGAGTCAGGAGGGAGCGCTAGAGGAAGGAAGCCCACAGGAGCGGCCCGCGGGGGTCCTCGCAGGCCCGCCCGGCGCGCGGGGGTGACTCCCGGTGGCCAGTGAGAGTGGGGAGCCGGCGCCACCCGGCCTTAACGCGGGAGTAGAGGATTCCTGGGGGGGGGCGGGGGGGACACTGAGGACACGGGGTGAAGGGATGTTAAGCGCGGGGTCAGACTGGGGGAGGGGGAGGATGGAAGCGATCCCGTCGGGAGGGAAGAACAAAGCCGTGGCCCGCTCTCTCCCGAATGCATTTCGGGCGTTTAATCTAAAAGGGGGGGTGCCAACAAGGGAGGGGCGGGGAGCGCGCGACTCGGCCCCGAAACCGGAGTTGCATTTACCACGACGCCTCGCCCGTAGTCTGGCGCCTCCTCACGGCTCCCGGCCATGTTTCTCCGGGGAAAGCGGGAAGGAAAGAAGCGCGCGGGAAGAAGCCGGGATGGTGACGGGCCGGGAGGGGGTGGGGGGAGGGGGGAGGGCGTGGGAGGGGGCCCGCCCCGCCCCGGGCCGCCGGGCGACCAAGCCGCAGCGCGACGACGACCCCACGCCTGGCGCGGCTCCAGCGCCTCGGCCCGCGCCCCCAACCCGGGCGGCTGCTCGGGCGCGGGGCGGGGAGGCGGGGCCCGGGGCGGGGGCGCGGGGCGCAGCTGCGGAGCGGCGTCCTCTCCACCTGAGCGCCGTCCCCCGGGCGCCCGCGCGTGTTCCCCTGCGGCCACCGCCCGTCTACGAGACCCCAGCCCGAGCCCCGCGGGGACCCGCGAGACCCAGGCTGCCCGCGGCTCGGGTTTTACAGGAACAGAAAGCGTGCCCAGGTCCCCCGCCTCCCTGGGTCTGTCGCCCCAGCTTTCGGGCTGACAAGGTCCTTGAATCCTTCCTGCTGACTTTTAGGCGCTGTTTATCCCAAGTAAATCCGCGAAAGAGCCTGCAGTAGAGGATGTTCTCGAAGTACGGCTGTGGGCGAAGCTATGATGTGTTTTTAAAATCCTCGAACTGCCCAGCCAGGAGGAGCTTGAAAGAGCCGTGCGGTGGCTTATCCCTGAACCATGCCCGCGGTTACAGGATGTAGACTGGGAAATAGGGCCTTTCCTTTACCCCTTTCAGGGCGAAAAAAAGAAGTTTTGACACATCATCTACTTTACCACTTTTGTAAGAACGTATGGTCAGATTTTAACTGTTTCAGGTTGCAGCTTAATGCCATCGCTCTTCCCAGATTCAGAAGCCTTCTTTCATGAATCTTTTGTTAATTCAACCCCTGATCCCAGCCTTCCCCGGAATGAGGGTCCCGGTTCTTTGTCTGTTCCTCAAGGGCCCTGCCCTCCCTTTATATGCATTCATTGCCCTGGTCTTTTCCCTCCCGCCTCATTCTTTGCAGCCCCACTCAGGTTTGAAGCCCCGAGCTGAACTCGGGCCCCTCCGAAAGACTATCTTGTTCATCTTCGGGTCCGGCACAAGGGAGGGAGAGGAATGCTGATTTCGCTTGGTTTGAGGGGAAAATAGTTCTCAATCAGTAATGTCACTCTGGGTTGGAAAAATGTTAGTCATTCCGACATGGCCGCGCGCAGCCCTGTTTGTCCTCTCCTATGTGCCAGCACGTGGAAGGAAGGCAGCCTCGTGGATTGCTGAAATTAGGTGCTGTGCTTGTGGACTGGCTCTCATAAACTGGGTGACAGTGTTTCCTGCACAGGTAAACATTTTCTCTCAGTAAGTGTCAGACGTCCTTGTTTCGGGCCATTTTTATAGTCTGACCTCTTTTCTCAAAGGTGAGGGACCATCTTCTATTTTCATTGTCAAAGACCAGGCCCAGGAAGCACCTTCACAACCAAAGTCATTAAAACTTCCAGAAACTGAAAAGTGGTGATCCAACTTCAGAGTTCAGAAGACTCTTTTGGGGACGCAGCCACCCGCCTACTCGGTAGGTTATGGTGGAGAAGCTCTGTGTTCAGACTCAGACATCTGCACCAAGACACTCAGGTGAATGTGATGCAATGGTTCACCAACTATGCCTTAAGGAATCCCACTGTCTTACTGCTGCAAAATCAAATTTACCCATAGGATGCTCAGTGTTGGTACATGGGCCTTAGGGACAAGAAACTTTTAAAATAGGTTACAGACGTAACTGCTCTACTGAAATCAAAAAGCTACTACTGGGCTTCCCTGGTGTTGCAGTGGTTGAGAGTCCGCCTGCCGATGCAGGGGACACGGATTCGTGCCCCGGTCCGAAAGGATGCCACATGCCGCGGAGCGGCTGGGCCGTGAGCCGTGGCCGCTGAGCCTGCGCGTCCGGAGCCTGTGCTCCGCAACGGGAGAGGTCACAACAGTGAGAGGCCCGCGTACCACACACACACACAAAAAAGCTACTACTGTGTGCCCAGCCCAGGCACTGTGGAAGATGTAAAGGATATGGTAGATAAAGCTTTCCTTAGAAAGGCCATTAATTAAATGTAAAATCCAATAGGCTCACAAGAAAAAAAAAAAGTCACTTACTTGAATGACAACAGGAATCTTAAGAATGCACACTCAAGAACATCCCGTAGAGACCCATAGGACATCCTATGAAGGATACAGAATGATGCACAAATCATTTTTTAAAATTCATTTTATTTATTATCTTTTTATATTTTGATAACATTTTGTGTGATCTAGTTATACTTCTATACTTTGGACAGCATTAATGTAATACAATATACATTTGATATCACAAATAGCATTTGCAAGAACCAATGATACCCAAGAATAACAAATCATTTGTCCAGACTTTACTCTTAATCTTGCATATGAGGACTCAGAGGCAAAAATTCTTTTTAAATCTCAAATTTCTGTTATGTGTCTAGTGCAATGGCTTCAGACCAGGATTCTGATTTTTCTAGCAATAATCCATATGACGTGAGCCACTGAGGCTAAGCCAATTACATCCATCAATATGCCTCAATTTTCTCATCGGTGAGAGGGGCAATACATTTCTGCTCTACTGCATATGAAGATGAGATTAACATGAGCTAACATGCAAGAGAATCCTTTGAAGAGTGCTATAAAACTGTTATTAATTAATTAATAACTGTGTTATTAATTGGAGATGCTGTGACAATGTGTGACCAAATGTTTATAAAGTTATTTGATGGGAAAATGACAGGGTAATTGCATTTTTAAGATGGGTGTAGGGTGACCAACCACGGACAGTTATAATCTAGGGACAAGATGGGACTGGTATGAGAATGGATACAATAGAAAGAGAAAATTATTAAAATAATGGAATTTTCCATAAAAAAGGATATTTTAGCTCAGATTGTCCATTTTCTGATACTCCCTTGAAGAAGCTGTAAGGATAAAGACGTAGATCTTTACAAAGTTAATAACCAGTAAATATACTTGCATTTTTTTGTCCTTCTCTTAATCCCCTTTTAGTTGGAGGTTCCTGCATTTTCAATTCTGAAACTGTCTAGTACCATTACCATGGTGTAAACACAAATATTTATGTTTACCTGAATTCTCCACCAGGCTAAAGACTTTGTCCTAAAAGTATATACTAACCTTTTGCCAGTTTGGTTAGTTCTTGACCTTTTGCCAATGTTAATCTGTTGTTGAAGGAGTGATTCAGTCTATGTGCTGAGTTGTTCAGAGCCAGTCACTCAGTGACACCAGATTCGAAATCCGGAAGGGCATTTAGTTTTTTGAGTCCTGAAACATGAAAATAAACAAAAAAACGCTCAGCCTGGGAATTGTGTTGAAATCCATAAACATGTGAAACTTAGTGACTCAGATTGTTAGTCACAGAGTAACTGATTAGAGTCTGGATGAAATCCATTGTGAACAAAGGCCAGTAATAATGATGATGATATTTTGCTTTTTCTTAGTGCAGAACAAAACCCTTTACAAATGTTACAAGTACCAAAAAAAAAAAAAAAAAGTGGAAAGATACTTTCTTCCAGATATTCAGGCTAAGTAAGAATCTTGCTACCTTTCAGGTATTTTTTTCCCCCTCAACATAAATACAGAAAAAAATATAGTTGCAAATAATTGTAACACACAACAATTTAAGCAAAAGCCTAATTAGTATTCAATTAGCATAGCAAGCCCTCTTTCCTGGCTTCTTGTTTGAAGCAGACTGGATCCAATGCGTAGTCTTAGAGTAAAAAAAAAAAATGGCTCCATAACTGTTCTTACAAAGAAACCCAGGAGCTACATTCAGAATTATGTTTTGCATTATTACACTTTCACTGGTAATTAACCTTCCACTGAAGAACACGGAGGATAAATTTGCCTGTTCTTTTGCAGTAATATCAGGCATGAGTAGTATCATCAACAGGAAGTGCTGGGCTGCTTCAGAGATACCCTCCCACTATCTCCCCATCTGACCGGAACAGGAATTGGATAGCTTCAGAGTAGAGGAATAATGTGTCCATGTGTTCCTCCAGATCTCAGAGTCCTGGCAGGCGACCTCAACTCTCTTGGCCACCATAAAGCAGTCATTGAAAGGACACAGCTGCAGGAACTAGAGGCTAAGGACTAAATAAATCCATAGTGCTGGAGGCACAAGTCATGTACATGACCCTAACACAATACCTTGTGGTTATGAATGAACGGATTAGCCTCTAATGGTGCAGTGGCAGCTTATGCAAAATTAATTGGTGCCTCAGCCAGTGCCAAGTTTCTAATGGAAAGATGTCCACTTCACACACACACACACACACACGCACACGCACATACACACACAAAACAAGGAGACCTTAGT